TTTTCATAAATTTTTTAACAAGGAGATCAGAGAGAGGGTGCAGAGTCTCCAGACCTGTTTGTTACTCCACCTGAAGACCAGGAACAACTGTCAGATAAAGAGGTCTGTGACAACTGCATAAAGATGCAATGATAATTATATTGAAATCAGTAGGTACTGTAGCATTTGGGGCTCTTTATAAGATATAGTGTTTAACAAGAATAGTCAAGGGTGCTAATTTTGGGGCTTGCCCCTCACACAAGCTGTAACTACATGTACATGTATGATGAGGTAGCCTGAAAATCATTCTTACTACCTCAGAAAAGTTTGACTCTTATAGTACTCTAGCAATTTAAAATTAATTTATTTCCTCAAAAAGATTTACCCATCTACAAGTGATGGACAGGAAAACCTACCAGCCCCAGCCTTTTGGAGAGGACCTTCTTTGCACACTGAACAGTGAAGATTGAAGCAGTAAAGTGTGGAAATGGTTTGACTAACAAGGGTTTCAAGTTTTCCACCTCTATTGTAGGTCAAATCAGTACAACAACTGTAGCTGGGAGAATGAATGTAGGGTTCTGTCATGATGTGGAACACATTTATCTGGGTTGTCATTTAACACCCTTTTCTTGTAACTGTAAAAGCAGATGTAGTACATGTATCATGTTTGACAATGATTTAAATTCTTGCTATAGGGTGCCAATAATATCGAGAGTGATCCAGAATTTCCTAACAGTCCTCCATTACCAGTTACTGCGAAATCACCAGATCCAAATGGCGAGGGTGGAAAGGAGACAAATTCCCAACAGGCTACAACGGCTGGGCCATCATTAAGGTGATTTTGAACAAACCAAATTACTTCTCCTCACCATTATAGCATTACCTGGAGTATTAAGTTGGTAACTGCTGATGCAGTATATCAGATTCCTCAAAATGTGCTCTTTTTTCAACATTGTGCCCTTTGTGGGAGCAAATTGAGCTTTTGAGCACAAGCTCCAGTATAAAATATATACAGTTGAACCCTTCTATTTCGAACTCTCGGGGGATACGAAAAATAGTTCGAAATAGCGAGAGTTGGAAGTAGCTGATAGTAAATGACTGAAGGGCAAATCGAAGGGTTATGGTTTTGAGCTTGAAATAACAGAGAATTCAAAATAACGGAGTTCGAATTAGCGGGATCCAAAGGTATATTATATATATGTTTTTTTTTTTTTTATTTCTTGTTTAAATAGAAATTCATAAGCTTATCCAAATCCAAATTTCACTGGTTCAAGTATTTTTTAGACTACCCACAAATTAGTC